CGGCCTTCCCCGCCCCCCCATCTCTACACCAGATCCTTGTAAATTCCTTAAAACAGTGTATGTTCCTGATTTCACTTTTGTGGTCTCCAGCCTTGAATTCATAGGAAGCACTAAAAAATATTTGATTGGCCCTTATCCTATGTTTTAGCCAAGTGCCTTTTGAATGCTTTCCTCTATTTCCACCACCAGACTGAGGGGGGCTCAGCCAGCCAAGCATGGACACACGTGCTTGCAGGCACACCCACGCCCAAGTTGTTCTGGGCCTTCCAGAACAGCATGGGAAGAACTGAAGGGCCTTCCTCACTGTCTCCCTCAGCCGAGGGGGGAGGAGCCAGGTTGGAGTTCCACGGACACTGTCCTGCTTCACTCTCCCCACACGCCTGCGCTCAGACACAGCTCGAGCTGTCTGGGAAGCAGGAGGCAAGGGTGGTAGCTCTCAGATTGTTTTCAGCTTCTGGGAAGTAGCAGGTGTTTAGAAACCGCCAGTGCTGGTCTGTCCTCATATTCTTTTCAGGACTCTGTCTCTGTCCTGGCCAAAGTGATAGCCTCCTCCCGTGTCTGCCACACCCGCCACCTCCCTCCCATCCCAGGCAAAGCAGCAGGGTGCCTTGTTTGCGTTTTTTTTCAGAGAAAGGTTCTGTTTTCCTTCCTGACCCCTCTTGGTCTTAGGCCATTGAAGGCAAAGCACATAGAGCCGGGGCTTCCGCAAGCTGTCCCCACTTTTCCACTCACCAGGGGCTCAGCGTGGCCTGGCGGGCGCCTTGTCCTTGCAGTCTGAGGCTGCTTGTCAGGCCCTGGTGGGCGCTTGGCTGGCGCTGGACCATCTGTGTTGTGCATTGAAGTGCTGGTGCTGAACATCACGAAACCCCAGAAAAGCCTGGGTTGGTCATCTTCCTGAGAAGCTGAAGGAGATCCCAACCTCCCTGCGCTGGGACCGGCTCAGGGCTTGACACAAGATGATGGTGGTGGAGGCTTCCAGCCCGACAACGCTCAGGCCCCTATAAGGCCCTCCTTAGCGTCCCCCTGCGTTAGCAGCCCTCTTAGTGTCAGAGATGCTGGTGCTGGTGACCAGGCCTGAAGCACCTTTACCCCAAGGCCAGGGCTTGGCCTCCACTGAGCAGACCAGCGCTGCGGGCGGTGATGGGCAGTCCACTTGCAAGGCGCTCACAGGCTGGCCTCCTTGTATTTTCAACCTGTTGATCAACCTCATTTGCCTCTTTGTGTCTGTGGAACATTTTTGTACAGTGGATTTGGCTTCCTCCCGCTTGGTCAAGAGCAAGGTTATGAATGAGTCTGGACCCAGAGTTGTTGGACGAGGTCATCGTCGCTGCCGTCCTGTCAGAGGCGGGCCTGAAGACTGCAGCTCAGAGGGCCGTGTGCCCCTCAGGCCCGGGTGTGGGGCTGCCTGGGGCCTCCTGCCTCTCCCCTGTGTTGCTTTCCACAGAAGCCCCTCCTTAGCTCCACCTTCAGAGCGCGTGGGTGGGCGGGTGGCACTCTGGTCCCAGCACCGCCACTGCTCGGGCTGGTCCAAGGCTGTCCTGGGCCCTGTCCTGACCTCCGCCCGCTGCATACGAGGCTCCCTCCTCCAGCTGTGACAATTAAGGTGTCCCCAGACATTCTAGGTGCTGAGCCACTGGCCGCCCTGCTTCTCTGCCGCACGTTCTCTGCATTCCCGTCATGCGTGCCGTGCTCAGCCCTGCGGGGGCTTCCGTGCTGGAATCTCAGGCCTCACCTCCTGCACACTCTCACTTTTTTTTTTTTAAAGATTTATTTATTTGTGCATACAAGAGCTGGGGTACAGGCCAGAGGTGTGGGGGTGAGAGGATTCACCAGACACAGAGCAGGGAACACAACAGGCAGACTGACTGAGATACTGCTGAGGGGAGCAGCGGGTGAGGCAGGAGCAGCCTGCTGCGCCCTTTGGGTTGCTCCCTGGCCAGAGGCTGCGGATTGCTTCATTGTGCAGTGCTTAACCCCTTGAGCCCCTAGGGAGGCCCCAACCTCCCACTCTCTTGAGAGCCCTCTCTGCTCCTTCCGTCTGCTCGGAAAGTGCTGTCCCTGGGCGCTCTGGTCACGTGAATCGCCTTTCCCGGCCGGCCGTAGCCGTCCCCGTCCCTGCCAGGTCACCTTGTTTGTCTGCATGGCCGTTAGTGCCCCCGGCCAGCCGGTGTGTGTGTCTCCCTGAGCTTTGTGAGTGCCAGGAGGTGTTCGGAACAGGCAGCTCCTTCGCCCCTGGCAGACTCCTCTGCCTCCATGGGGATGTGTCCTTGGAGCTCCCGCTTCCAGAGACAGTGGGAGCTGAGGATGTGGAGTCTGGGGTTCTGCCGGCACACCCCACAATGTGTCACAGAAACAACCAGAGGAACGCATGAGCATTTCCAAGCCCCCGGGGTCCTGCCCCAGACACAGCTCAAAGGAATTGTCCTCGTGTTTTGTTCAGAAACCCCCGAGAGTTGCAGCGTAACCTCAAGAAACATGAGCCATAGTTTGCTGTTCAGAGTTCTAGAGCCCGTAGTGACAGCTGAAATCTCACCCGCCCCTTCCCCCCCCCCCCCCCCCACACACACACACACACACGCCTTTTACAAACGACGGCGCCTCTGACAAGCTCGGTTTCCCTGACTGTTTTGTGCTTAGTCGGCTGTTTCCGCAGAGCCCGACAGCGCCCCCTGGCGCAGCCGCGGGGAGTGTCCCCGGCGAGGCCTCGGCCGCTGCCCGGAGCTATTCCGAGAGGCGGCGGCAGCAGACTGTGGGCCCGGGCGGGCGCTCTGCTGTCCCGACCCCTGCGCTCCGGGCTCAGATGTTCTCTTTGTGGTTGAAAGAAGAGCTCTGGAGCCAGACTGCCTGAGGCCCTGCTGAGGGGCGGCTTCCTGGGCACAGCTTCTCGCCTCAGCATACAGGCTGGGAGGGTGCGGCTCTCCGAAGCAGCGGCCGCCAGAACCCTGTCCACGGGGATACCGGGCGCCTCCTTGGTGCAGCGGCACAGGGTGGGTGCAGGGAGGGGCCCCAGGGTACTGGGGTGTGCGCCCGGAAGGGGGCAGCGGGGCGAGTCAGGGCCCAGGTGGGTGGCACGCGGCAAGCTGCCAGGGCACGTGCAGGATGGAGAGCCTGGCCCCTCCTGAGCCTCCACACGGCCTTCTTGCGAGTTCTGGAACCCCACACTGGGAGTGGAGCCAGAAGGGGAGCCGCCCGCTCCTCTTCCCTGCCACTCCCCTCCGCCCAGCCTTGTGGGCTTTGGAGGAATGTCACCCTGGCCGTGGAGACAGCCACTGTGTGTGGAGTTGTGCTCTGGCAGGAGGCCAAGCGCAGGCTGGAGGGCCTCGGCCGGAGGCCCCTCTCCCGGGAACGCCAGGCACCGCCGGTCCCCCAGCCGCAGCGGAACGCGGAGACCCTCACGGAAAGGAGCGGCCGGCGCCTGGTGTGACCGAGCTCTCGCTGGCCGCATCGTTGCTGCTTCGGTCTCATGCGGAGCCCGAGCCGCAGTCACCCTGCGGCCTCAGGAGCAGCGTCCCCGGCCGGGGTGCCGCGGGGCTGGGCAGGGTCCTGTCGATGCCTGCACCGCTCAGGGTCTGCCTGCTGCTGCTCCCCCTTCACCACAGCTCCTTCGGGCCCCACGCGGCGCCAAGGCCGGGACGTGATCTGCAGGCTCACGTGGGTCTCTTCTCCGCGACCCCTGAGCAGGCCCCTCCCGCCCGGCACGATGCCTCTTCCATTGGTTTGCCCGGCTCTGCGACTTCTGGTCTCTATGGCAACTTGCAAAGAGCCGCAGCTGGAGCAGAGGGCTGAGAGCGGGTGGGACAGCCCTGACAGGGCAGGCCCCAGGCCAGAGCTTCAGGCACAGCAGGCGTTGGCTGGGAAGCCCTGTGAGTGGGGGTAGGCCACATCCAGCACACCCGTAAAGGGAGCTTCTCGCACCCCTCCAGCTGCCGGGATCCCGGGGGTCAGTGAGGTGAGGAGGGTGATTGCAGCTGGTGTTTGTGGGGCTCTTGCCCGAGGTTTCAGGGCTGGCACCTGTGTCCAGGACCCCTGCCCTTCATCCTTCGGGCCCTGGGGTGTGCTCCCTGTGGGGAAGTCCCCTGCCCTGGTGGCTGGCAGGCCCATCGCCCCCACTTTACTCTGGTAAGACACGCCCTCCAGCGAAGTTTGTTTTCATCATCTTTGCTGAAATTGCCGTGACCTTGAGCCAGTGTCTTCCATCTTCCGCGGCCGCCACCTTTCCATGCCCAGGGCTGGGAGGGGCCGGGCAGAGGGGGTCTGAGGAGCCTTGGGGGGAGTGCTGGGGGGAACAGCTCCCCCACCCCAGGGGTTTGCGGTCTCGGCGGTGCTCATCTGGCGAGGCGGGTTGACTCCGTGAAGAACTGCAGCAGCGCCGCCCCAGGTTTCGGGAGCCAGCAGAGACATCGGCCAGGCTGTTGGGGGATCTGGCTGAGCTCTCAGAGGTGGCGGCTGCTGGGTGTTGCAGGAGGGACAGGCGAGGTGCTCGTTGCGCCCTTGGCCAGGCTCCAGAAGCCAGCGGCTGGCATCACTCAGCAGCCCACACACCCAACAGTGTGATAGATAAGGACAGGCTGTGGCTGGTCAGGAAGGATAGCTCAGAGTGGAAGGTGCTGTCACCTGATAGCCCCCTTCAGGGTGACCCCCCACCCCCGTGTCATGCTTCCCCTTCTCCCTACTCAGCACTCGCCAGGGGGGTGGAGGGCAGGCGCTTGCAGAGGTTGGAAAGGATTGAACACTCAGCAAAGTGTTTGTGCTGCATGGAACTGGCTGTTAAAGCTTGTAGTTAAGTGAGGCCACACTCTTAGTCCCCCTGAACCCCCCTTGGCAGCACGGTGCTGCCTTTGGTGCGGGGAGATGGGCAGCACCCCTTGCTGTGAAGGGGTGTGCCTTGGGCAAAGACCAGGCTGGACAGCAGGCCTGCTGCACTGCCTGCTTCCCGTGCTGGGGTGCGGCAGGACGGGCCGCCCCAGGGGCTGCTCTCACACCTGCCTTTCCTCTCGCAGCTGAAGCTGGAGGATCGCTCTGTGGTGCCCCGGGATGTAGTCCGGCACATGCGCTCCACTGTGAGTCCCACGTCCCCGCCCTGACGGGGGTGGCCTGGGGCTGGTCTGGGCCGGGCCCTGGCAGCAGGCGCCGTGCCCTGCGCAGGCTGGATGCCTTCTCCTCCCCAGGACAGCCAGTGCGGCACCGTCATTGATGTCAGCATCGACTGCGCCGTCAAGCTCATCGGCACCAACTGCATCATCTACCCGGTCAACAGCAAGGACCTCCAGCACATCTGGGTGAGCCACCGCGCCGCCTCCTGCGCTGGCCCTGCCCGCGAGGCCTGTCCTGCCAGAGCCGCTCGTGGGGCTCTTCCCCTGCTTCTCTGCCTCCTCTAACACTTACTTTAAACAACAAATTTCCTTTCAGTGATTGATTTTTTAAATGATTTCGAACAGTGAGAAGTTGTAAGTCCCCGCGCCCCTGCAAGGCGCAGGGTCCACAGCTGGTGACATTTCTCTCCGCCTGCACGGCACCTCTCCGTCCCCTTCCCCACGCTCCTCTCTTGTCTTTTTCCTGAAATACTCGAGAACAAGCACAGGTGTGGTGCCCCCTAAATACCGCAGCGTGTGCTTCCCCCACACAGGACCACTCAGCCCCAGGTTAGGAACCAGCATCAACACAGACCCAAGGGGGTCCCCACCTCACCCTTTGTCCTCCTCTGCCCTGGGACTCCGCTCAGCCTAACATCCCCGCCCACCTGGGGCAGCTCCCCAGTCTTGCATGGTTCCCCACCCCATGATGTGCCTGCCCTCTTGGGAACCCCTGAGCCTGGAGCTGACGCCTCCTCTCGACCAGCCTGCCCTGTATTCTTGGCAGGACGGCATTGCTCCCCCGGCCCCTAATGTCCAGGACCGTGCTGTGGCCCTGGATGCTCTGCCCCCGGTCCTGTGGGTGACTCCAGGCCACTGTAGTCACCGTGTACCCTTTGCTGCCGATTCTGCTTTGTGGGGACCTATTCCAGGGCCCTGTCGATAACCTGTTCCTTGTCAAGTCCCGTTAAGCCACCCTCCCAACCAGCCAGCACCCTGCTTGTGTGTTTTCTGGCCCAGCCCTAGAGTCAGCTGTTTCTCCAAGGCCCTGGCTCCTGCAGAGGAGAATGGCATTTAAGGGTCCATGCACGTGCTAAGTGTGCTCCCCACCACTAGCCTGTTCAGGGCGTGCGCGCATGTGTGTGTGTGTGTGTGTGTGTGTGTGTGTGTGTGTGCACGTGTCCACATCCGATTACATATAGATTAAAAAACAGCTGGTCCCAGAACCTCTAGCTCCAGTTCAGCTCTGCGGTTTCTCTCCTCTCTGTGGGAGTGAGTACCTTCCCCGCAGAGTGCAGCTTGCCTCTCAGGCTCCTCGGCAGGTCTCGTTGCTGCTAGCTTGTCCCTGTAGCTCCCTCCCACCCCAGAGGGCCATGTCCTTGGCATGTCAGGCCTCTGCACAGCCGCCCCATGGCCGCCTTTGCACAGCCGCCCCATGGCCGCCTGGGACAGGAGCGGAGCGGGATGAGGCTTAGACCCGGGGGTGCAGGGTGGGAGCCGACAGTCGCAGTTAATGGGTACAGCACTGAGTCTGTAGAACCTTCCTCCCTTGTCACGGTGGGCAAAGAGGAACCTGTGCCCTAGGGACCACCTGTGCCCTTCTCACACTCCCGCCCCTTGGCCCGCAGCCCTTCATGTATGGGGACTACATCGCCTATGACTGCTGGCTGGGGAAGGTCTACGACTTGAAGAACCAGATCATCCTGAAGCTGTCCAACGGCGCCAGGTACCTGCGCCGTCCCAGCCGGTGCTGCTGCTGGGGGAGGGGGAGGGGGCTGTTCCTTAGGGGCCGGTGAGGATAGGTCCACCTCGCGCCCCAGCCACCACCGCGGGTGTTCAGCTGCCTCCTCGACAGGGTGGCTAGCTGTCCTCAGGCAGGTCCTCGTCGTTGCTCCTGGCTTGGGGAAGAAGCTTATTTAGGGCACCTGCTATGGGCTCATACTCTGTGGCAGACATTTTCAAGGCGGTAAGCGCTCAGATAGAGGGTTAGGGTCACCTTGTTTGTAGGGTAGTCACTTGTTCCAGCTCAGAGGCTGTGCATGGGCACCGGCCACATGGCCCCTCCAAGGGTCTGCAGACCCAGTGACGCCTCTGGCTGGTCCTGACCGACAGCCTCACTGGACCTGGCCTGTTGGGTCCACGCCCTGAGGCTCTGTCAGTGAGCCCCAGTGGAGACCAAGACCGTTCCCTTCCAGATGCTCCATGAACACTGAGGATGGAGCCAAGCTCTACGACGTCTGCCCGCACGTCAGCGACTCGGTACCTTGGCTCAGCCGGGTGGGCTCCCCGGGGCTGGGGGCAGGGGCGGGCAGCAACCTCTCCTGCCCCTTCACCTGCTGGGCTGCTCACGAAGGGGTAGTGTTAGCAAGCAGCAAAACGCTGGCCGGCAGGGGGGCTTCCTGGAAAGGGGGTGGGGTGACCAGAAGCCCTAGGGGCCTGGGTGTGGCAGAAAGTACTGGGACGTCTCTTTGCAGTTACAGCGCTTATCCCCACATCGTTTTAAAACTGCTGTTTTCCTGTCTTCACACGTTTGCTGTTCAGTACAGCATGTCGTAGAGCAGTAGCGTTTTGGCGCCATTGTCAGCCAGCACAGCCGGTGCATGACCACACAGGTTTGGGGACCACTGTCCCCCAGAGTTCAGGCTCCAAGCTGACGTGCTCCCCAGGCAGCGTGGCAGCCTGAGCTTGCGAGGAGCAGAGGCAGACGTGCCCCTGGCTTGAGGCGTGCAGCTCTGGCGCCCTAGGATTTGTTTTAGGGAATGTGGAGGCTCGTGGAGGGGGGTGCAGGTGTGGAACCAGCAGGGGCTGGCGGGGGAGGGGAAGGTGAGCACCCTCCCCACAAGACTCTGCTCACAGGACCTTCTTCCTGCCCCATCCCCTCAGGGCCTGTTCTTCGACGACTCCTATGGCTTCTACCCGGGCCAGGTGCTCATCGGCCCCGCCAAGATCTTCTCCAGTGTCCAGTGGCTTTCGGGGGTCAAACCCGTGCTCAGCACGAAGAGCAAGTTCCGAGTGGTGGTGGAAGAGGTGAGAACTGGGGCGGGAAGGCTTGGGGTAGGGATGTCCTCGGCCTCCAGGCCCTGTTGATCTGAGAGAGCTCTGGGGATCAAGGGAAGCCAGGCTCTGGCCAGAGTGACCGTGGTGACCGCCCAGCCCAACTGAGCCAGGCTAAGCAAGGTGGGGGAATGGCCGGTGGCACGTCCACTGGGCCCTGGACAGCAGTAGCAGTGACCCCTGGGGTGGGAGTGATGAGTCACTTCCGCACCGGAGCTTGAGGGCTGTGCAGCTCCAGCAGAGTGAGCTGTTGGGACCTTCTGACCGTGGCCCTGCCCTACCCACTGTCTCCAGGTTCAGGTTGTGGAGCTGAAAGTCACGTGGATTACTAAGAGCTTCTGTCCAGGGGGCACAGACAGCGTCAGCCCCCCGCCCTCCGTCATCACCCAGGAGAACCTAGGCAGGTAAGCGGCGCCAGCATGCACCCCTCCAGCAGCCCTGGGCCGTTGCGGGGGTGTGGGGGCCGGGGTGGAGAACCCCACCGGCCAGTCCCCGCTTTCTCCCCCAACCAGGGTGAAGCGTCTCGGATGCTTTGACCATGCTCAGCGGCAGCTTGGGGAGCGCTGTCTGTATGTCTTCCCAGCCAAGGTAGAGCCGGCCAAGATTGCCTGTGAATGTCCAGAAAAAAACTGCGCCCAGGGGGAGGGCTCTATGGCCAAGAAGGTATGTCCTTGGGGCTGGGGCTGGTGGGCGTTTGAGGAACTGGCCTCGCGCCATTTCCACAGCCAGGAAGGATGGTCTGTGCTCTGGGCCTTGGGGGGCAGGCCTGATGACTCTTGTAGGCCAGATAGGTGTGTGCCACTGCCACCCCCCACCCCCAGACCAGCTGCCTGGGGTCAGCCCGCCTCGGTCCCTGCGCTGCTCGCCATACCTCTGCATCCCCTGCTCTGCCCTCCAGGTGAAGCGCCTCTTGAAGAAGCAGGTGGTGAGGATCATGTCCTGCTCGCCAGACACCCAGTGCCCCCGGGACCACTCCACGGAGGACCCGAGCAAGAAGGGGGAGGCCAAAACCAAGAGTGAGCCGGGCTCAGCCAGCCCCGAGGAGACACCCGAGGGCTCGGCCAGCCCCGTGGAGATGCAGGACGAGGGCCCAGAGGAGGCCCCCGAGGTGGGCGAGCAGCTCCCGCCCTTCTTGCTGAAGGAAGGCGGGGACGACAGGCTGCACTCCGCGGAGCAGGACGCCGACGACGAGGCCGCTGACGATACGGACGACACCAGCTCCGTGACCTCCTCTGCCAGCTCCACCACCTCCTCCCAGAGCGGCAGTGGCACGAGCCGCAAGAAGAGCATCCCCTTGTCCATCAAGAACTTAAAGCGGAAACACAAGAGGAAGAAGAATAAGATCACGCGCGACTTCAAACCAGGGGACAGGTACGCCCAGGGGATGCTCTGCTGGATGACCAGCCCCTCTGCGGGCCACATGCACACGCGCGCGCGCGCACACACGTGTGGGCACACAGTTTGCAGCCCCGCGGGTGTGGGGGTGCCCCGCAGGTGCCTGGGCTTGGCCCTGGTGAAAAGAAGAGATTGGGAGTGGGGTGGAGGGGGGGGTGACCTGGACGCACGTTTGCTGGAGCTCTCCCCAGTGGGACCGTTCTCAAGGCCATGTGGAAGCTGTAAACTGAGTCACTCTTGTCTGGAGCTAAGCTTCCTGACCAAGCCCACAGGGAGGGGAGGGCTTCAGAGAGCCCCCGCCCTCTCCTGGCTCACTGTCCTGCCTCGCAGGGTGGCGGTGGAGGTGGTGACCACGATGACCTCGGCAGACGTCATGTGGCAGGACGGCTCGGTGGAGTGCAACATCCGCTCCAACGACCTCTTCCCCGTGCACCACTTAGACAACAACGAGTTCTGCCCTGGAGACTTCGTGGTAGACAAGCGAGGTAGTGCTGGCACCGAGGCTAGTCCTGCTAAGGGCCTGGGTTGGGCGGGGGAAGAGGGGGCCAGAGGCCGGCCTCAGGAGTGAGGGAGGAGACTCCCTTTGAAGATGGCACCCCAGGCTTCTTAGAAGGTCATGTTCCCTCCTCTGGTTCCCTAGTCCAGAGCTGTCCAGACCCCGCTGTCTACGGCGTGGTGCAGTCTGGGGACCACGTGGGCCGCACCTGCATGGTGAAGTGGTTCAAGCTGCGGCCGAGTGGGGATGACGTGGAGGTGAGTGTGGGCAGCCTCCCTGCTCCCCGAAGGGTGGGATGTCCTGGGCTGGGGTGGGTCCCGGGGCTCACAATGGCCCATCCTGTCCCAGCTGATTGGAGAAGAGGAAGACGTGAGCGTCTACGACATTGCTGACCACCCCGACTTTCGGTTCCGCACGACCGATATCGTCATCCGCATCGGCAACACTGAGGATGGCGCGCCTCACAAGGAAGACGAGGTATCGTGCCCGGTCGGGACCCATCATGGCTTCCCACAGCCCACGGCAGTGCAGTCCCTGGAGGTGCCACCAGGTGGCTCCAGGAGGCCAGACCTGCAAGCCCGCTGCTCTGTCCACCCGGTGCCTTCCCCAGGCGGGCAGCTGCCCACAGTGGAGCCGCCCCCTAGTCTGTCACCTCCCAGACTCACGCGCTTGCAGAGTCAGACTTCTGTCTGCAGCTGCTCCCTAAGCCCTGCGCTCCCATCTCAGAGAGGCCCACTGGTGGTCCTGAGTGCCATGAGCGTGCTGGCGGGTGCTGTGCAGTAGGCAGTGGGGGTTGTAGGGAGCTGGGGAGTCGCCATCGAGCTGGCCTTTGAGAACAGGTGGCACACCGGGTAGGGGAGGGGCAGGTCTCAGGCAGAGGAGGAGCAGGAACAAGGCTTCGAGGCGGAAGCCCAGGCTGGGCATATCTGGAAGCCAGAGTGCTGCGAGTAGGGAGGGAGTTGGAGGGGGCTTGTGTGGGGCGGGAGTTGGCACTCGGGTCGCCAGGTGGAGGAGCGTGAGCCCAGCGACGGCCAGCATCGCCGTGGGCGGACAGAGGCGTCCCACACTTGTGTGCCATTGCGGCCTCTGGCTGCCATCCACACCCCTTCTCTCGTCACCCCTGCCGCCTCTCAGAGGGACCCCGAGAGCTGACCCTGCCCCATTTGCCTTGTAGCCATCGGTAGGCCAGGTGGCTCGCGTGGACGTCAGCAGTAAGGTGGAGGTGGTGTGGGCTGACAACTCAAAGACCATCATCCTGCCACAGGTAAGACCCTGCCCGAGCCCGCTGCTCAGCTTGCAACTGTGGCAGCTGACAGGGCCTGATCCTTACCACTCAGGGAACGGGAAGATGGCCTCTGGGATCTTCTGGTGAGGGCCTGTCTTTTTGGGTGTTAGGGTCCCAGAGAAAGCTTGGGAGGAAGAACAGGTGTTTTGAAAAAAAAAAATTTTTTAAGATTTATTTATTTATGCATACAAGAGCTGGGGTACAGGCCAGAGGTGCAGGGGTGAGAGGATTCACCAGAGACAGAGTGGGGAACAGAACAGGCAGACTGACTGAAACACTGCTGAGGGGAGCAGCGGGGAGACAGGAGAGGTCTGCTGAGCCCTGTGGGTAGCTCCCTGGCCAGCCGGGAATCAAATACATGCTGCAGAGGCTGCGGATAGCTTCATAGGTTGCGTCTTAACCCCTTGTGCCACCAGGGAGGCCCCATGAACAGGTGTTTTGGATGAAGCCTGGGGTGTGTCGGGAGAACAGAGGGGCAGTCCACAGCTCACCCCACCTGGCAGACTCCCCAGGTTGGCAGGCATTTGTAGATTTTCACAAACCTCCCAGATTTGCCTGGATCCCCGTGTCATTGGGCTGGAAGTGCTGGTTACTTCCTGGAGGAGACGAAGCCTTTCCTACCTGGGGACACTCTCCCAGGCAGGCAGGAGGGAAGGAGGCGAGCTGGCATGGTCCCAGCCGAGGGCCTGGGCTGTGGGGCCCTACTTGCTGCCGCTGCTTTGCCCCTTGTTCACGCTGATGATCTGTTTGCTCCAGCTCCCCTCTCCAGGGATGAGACAGGAAATGACACAGGCCTCTCCTGCCCCACCCCCCTCACACACTCCCAGCATAGCCCCACAAAAGCCACTGGCCTGAGTCCTCTGAGGTGGGCTGGGTCTGCCCTGAAGGGCCCGTGTTGCCTGGTGCCCACAGGCAGGGAGGCTGGAGCAGACTGTTGGCTTGGACTTCGGGATGTGAGACTGTCACCTCCCAGCACAGCCGGGGGCGGGGGCGGTCAGCTCTAAGGGTCAGAGTGTCCGGCGCCCTCGGAACTCCTTCGACCTGCCCGCCATGTCGCCCCTCAGCACCTGTATAACATCGAGTCTGAGATCGAGGAGTCCGACTACGACTCCGTGGAGGGAAGCACCAGCGGGGCGTCCTCGGACGAGTGGGAAGACGACAGCGACAGTTGGGAGACGGACAATGGGCTGGTGGAAGACGAGCACCCCAAGATAGAGGAGCCCCCCCTCCCAACCATTGAGCAGCTGGCAGCCCCCGAGGAGGACAAGGGCGTGGTGATCAGCGAGGAGGCTGCCACCGCCGCCATTCAGGGGGCCGTGGCCATGGCTGCCCCTGTGGCTGGGCTAATGGAAAAGGCCGGCAAGGATGGGCCCCCGAAGAGCTTCCGGGAGTTGAAAGAGGCCATCAAGATCCTGGAGAGCCTAAAGAACATGACCGTGGAGCAGCTCCTGACGGGCTCCCCCACCTCTCCCACGGTGGAGCCCGAGAAACCAACTCGAGAGAAGAAGTTTCTGGATGATATCAAGAAGCTTCAGGAGAACCTCAAGAAGACCCTAGACAACGTGGCCATCGCGGAGGAGGAGAAGATGGAGGCGATGCCGGACACGGAGCGCAAGGAGGACAAGCCCGAGGGGCAGTCGCCGGTGAAGGCCGAGTGGCCCAGCGAGACCCCGGTGCTCTGCCAGCAGTGTGGTGGCAAGCCCGGGGTTACCTTCACCAGTGCCAAGGGCGAGGTCTTCTCGGTGCTGGAGTTCGCGCCCTGTGAGTGAGCCAGCAGGGCCCGTGTCCCGGGGGGTCGGGGTCGGGGTGCCCGCAGAGCTGTGGGAAGCGCGTGAGGGGAGCACGCCAACAACTGCTGCCTGCAGGGGCTGCTGGGCTCTCCTTCAGGGCCTGACCCTCTCTTTCCCCTCCAGCAAATCACTCCTTTAAGAAAATTGAGTTCCAGCCTCCAGAAGCCAAGAAGTTCTTCAGCACAGTCCGGAAGGAGATGGCGCTGCTGGCTACCTCGCTGCCCGATGGCATCATGGTCAAGACTTTTGAGGATAGAATGGCAAGTGGCCTGGTGTGGGCTCGGTGTGGGAAGGGCCAGGTGCGCCGTGTGGGCGCTCACTGCCCGCCGGGCCCAGCCTCGGGCTTCTGGCTGCCAGAACTGAGGCTCCCCGAGGCCGCCCACAGCCCCTGCACGCAGGTGGCAGCCCCGTCAGTGACGGCAACTGGCAGGAGTCCCGGCCTGAGTCCAGACCAGGTGGCTCCTTCCTCCCTCCCTCCTTTTACAGCTTAGTTTAAAAGTACGTAATTGTCACCTGAGTGTATTCTTGTTTGTGAAAAGTTAGAACTTTACAGGAAAAGCGAGTTACCTCGGGTGATGACCTCGGGCTTGGGTGGGCCTCCTGGACGCCCGCGTCCCGTGTTTGAAACCCTTGCGCATGGCCGCCAACTCGTGCTGTTTCTGCACGAGCAGCATGTCCTGGTCACATCTGTGATTTGCTTTTTTCACTCAAACGGTGATTTTTTGAGTCCTACCAAGGTTGATGCACATTGACCGGCTGGTCCGTGCCCTTGTGGCCACAGAGCAGAGCGCCTCCCAGGGCCGCCTCCCTCCATGCTCCGCTCCTCGGCACGGTCGTGCGGCCAGAGGCACTGCGGGTGCGTCCTCGTCCAGGCAGGAGAGGGCAGCCCCCTTCTGTCCACCACCTTGGCCGTTCGGCTGCCTTGTGATGGGCCGTGCTGTGCGCTGGGCACCGTGGACACACTGGGTTTGAGTCTGACCGAGGCCCTGGCTCCCGCCAGCCCTGGCGGAAGGACCTGAGCCACATGGCGGCCCGTGGTGGCCGAGGCCACGGGGCAGTGCTGGGATCGGGGCAGGGGGGCAGCTCGAGGTTCTTAATGCTTTTGGTGTTTGGAGTTCTTGAAAGTAATGATGTCTGAGGGGGAAGCCTGGTAGGATAGAAACCAGTTTGGGAAATGCCTCTTATGCCAGCAGTTGAAAGATACCACGTAGGGCCGCACAGAGATATTTGCATTTAGCTTCTCTGTTGCTGCCAGTCTCTGGAGTCCTGGGGTTTCACTCCCCCTCCTGCCCCATCCCCATGAGAAGACATCTGGAGAAGAGTGGAACCCCACCCGGGGGGTGAGGCCCTGCCAACCTCAGCCCTCTCCCCCCCTTCCCTAGGACCTCTTCTCAGCCCTGATCAAGGGCCCCACTCGCACCCCCTATGAGGATGGCCTCTACCTGTTCGACATCCAGCTCCCCAACATCTACCCGGCCGTGCCACCCCATTTTTGCTACCTCTCCCAGTGCAGCGGCCGCCTAAACCCCAACCTGTATGACAATGGGAAGGTGTGCGTCAGCCTGCTGGGCACCTGGATTGGAAAGGTGAGCACGGCGCCAGAGCCCGGGCAGGTGGGGGAGAGCCAGCCTTGAAGACGGGGCTGAAGGTGCTTTGTGTGCGTTTCAGGGGACAGAGAGGTGGACCAGCAAATCCAGCCTTCTTCAGGTGCTCATCTCCATCCAAGGTATGCTTGGGGTGCCAGGTGGTAACCGGCGGCCGTGGGGGGGCACAGTGACTCTGGCCTAGGCTCCCCTCGCCTGCCTCCCTGGACCCCTTGGGAGCTGAGCTCCGGCTTCCCCCCACCCAGGTCTGATCCTGGTGAACGAACCGTACTACAACGAAGCCGGCTTCGACAGCGACCGGGGCCTGCAGGAGGGCTATGAGAACAGTCGCTGCTACAACGAGATGGCGCTGATCCGCGTGGTGCAGTCCATGACCCAGCTGGTGCGGCGGCCCCCCGAGGTGTTCGAGCAGGAGATCCGGCAGCACTTCAGCACTGGCGGCTGGCGGCTGGTGAACCGCATCGAGTCCTGGCTGGAAACCCACGCCCTGCTGGAGAGAGCCCAGGCGCTGCCCAGCGGGGTCCCCAAGGACAGCAGCTCGCCAGAGCCGCCAGCTGCGGCTGAGCTCTCGGACTGCGGCCGAGAAGAAGCTGAGGATGGAGGACTGGCCCCTGGAGAGGCCTCCCAGGGCTCAGACTCGGAGGGCGGCGCCCAGGGCCTGGCCTCAGACGGCAGGGACCACAGAGACCAGACTTCGGAGGCAGCGCCTGACGCCTCGGTGCCGCCCAGTGTCAAACCAAAGAAGCGGAGAAAGAGCTACCGGAGCTTCTTGCCCGAGAGGAGCGGCTACCCTGACCTCGGCTTCCCGCTCTTCCCGCTCTCCAAGGGTTTTGTCAAGAGCATCCGGGGCGTCCTGACGCAGTTCCGGGCCGCTCTGCTGGAGGCCGGCATGCCCGAGACCACAGAGGACAAGTAGCCGCCCGCCGGGGAGGAGCCGCAGAGGCCGCCAGCCGCCGCCCGCGCTCCCCGCCCTGGAGTCTGCCCCTGTCCTTCCCCCCGTTCCCAGTGCAAGCCCCCTCTCTGCCCTCTTCTCCTCAAGGTGAGTTTGATGCTGAAGTGCAAGAAATTTCTGGAGATGCTGCCGTTTCTGTTCAGAAGCAATCTTCCCGCAGGCGCCCCCCTGCCTCCTCGGTGGCAAAGAAAACCCGAGCCCCGTTGCTGATTTTCCACTCGTCGCCTCAGGCGGAATGTGCCGGCACTTCCTGCCGTCACCATCTCAGGTCGGGGGGAGTGTTCGAGGGCCTGCCGTGGGGCCTCCACGCCCGGGGGCCGGTGGGTCAGCAGCGGGCCGAGTGGACGTGCCTTGCATGACGTGTGTCGCTCCAGCGATTCCCCGGGTCCCCTTCCGCCCGCGCAGCTCCACTGTCGCTCCCCTGTGTCCCCGGCCCTCCTGCCGCCACTGCCACCGGATGCCCCGGCCCCCAGCGGGGAACTGTCGCTGCCGTCACCGACTCCTGGCTCGGTTCTGGCCCACAGGATAGTCCTCAGGGCCGTTGAACTTGCTCTCGAAGAGAGGCTGGGGCCAGGCTGGGTTCAGGTGACACCCAGGAGAGGTGGCGGCCCGTGAGGACCCCCGGCTGCGGGGGAGGAGCAGCTGGAGGCGCCTGTCTCTCCTGCCCTGGGTGGTCCGGGCAGCGGCACTTCAGGCCTTCAGGCCTCACCCCTTGGACTGAAGCGGCTGCCTGCTCCCTGCTCAACCTCGTCCCAGGGCCCCAGGAGGCAGGAATAGCAGCCCTGAGAGGCCAGGGCAGGTGCTGGGGCCTCTCCTTAGACCACGCCCTCCTGGTTCTGACGCCAAGGGGCATGGAGCACACAGAGGAGCACGCCAGCCCCCCTGCCCCCGGGCTCCCCTTCCCCGCTCCACCCGCCGCCCTCTCCCGCCGCCCTCTCCCGCGAACACAAGGCCTCCTCAGTCCTCGGCTAGAGACTCTGCAGGCTCCATCTGGGGAGGTGCCGGCTGGGGTCCTCCCCTGCAGAGCAGGCCCAGAGGTTTACAAGTTTTCTAGCTTTTGATAATGTGAAGCTCCAGGTTGAGAGGATGCCGTCGAGCACATTGCAGCTATGTAATTTTTGGTGTATGTATGTAATATTTAAGGTTGAAAGAAAATAAATCTCAAAAGCAAAGATATTAACTATTAGAAAAAAAAGACAAAAAAAAAGCCAAAGCATGATGCGTCTTGTCGGCCTTAAGCTGGCTCGCCGCCCGGCCCCCAGGGCTGCCGCCGCGGGGAGGACGCACGAGCTGGACGCCCGCAGCCCTCGGCCCTCAGCGCCCAGAGCCAGAGCCTCGCTGAGAGCGCCCGGAGCGGCTGGCGGGCGGCGGGCCGGCGCGCGGCGATGTGATGCCCACTGCTTCCGACGTCTGTATAAAGTGCTGTGTGATTCGACTTTTTTTTTACTTGCATTTTTTTTTTTTTTTTTTTTTTTTTTTTTTTTGGTTTGGCTCATTACAATGTACAAAAAGACAAGGTGGCACCATTAAACCTGCCTCTGCCATTCATCTGGGCTCCGTGGCCTTTCTTCCTCTCTGGGCACCGCACCCCTCTCCCCAGGGGAGAGACCCTGGGGCCGGGCCTGGGCAGCCACTCCTCCTTCCAGGCTGGTCCCAGGCCTTCTGCAGCTCAGCTGGAGAAGAGGGCCTCGGTTCCCCTCACGAGGCTCTGCCCGCAGCAGCTGTGGCCCCCGGGCCGAGTGCCCAGCACAGCCCCTCCCAGATACAGGGGGATCCGGCACGCCAGCACTTGGCTGGCTGGCTCTCCCCAGAACAGGTGCCCAGTTAGGGGCGCTCTACTTCTAACTCATGGCCAGCGCTCCCCTGTAAGGGCAGGGCGGGGCAGGGCAGCAGCGACTGGACGGGGGGAGCCCTAGAGGCCTCCCTGGAGGACAGCAGACTCGGGAACAGCTGCCTGCCCGTCTGACTTGCTCCTTGTCCGTGTACCCAGGGCCACTCGCTCGGACACTGTTCCTTGTCGCCGAGACTGGCCTCTGGGTGAGAGTCTTCAAGCCTCAGTCTTCCCACGTGTGGGGGAGGCAGCGGGCCAAGTTCTTCGGCTTCTCCGGGGCCAAAGGTGGGGCGGCTGGGCCAGGGCACCGCCTCCTCACGGCCACGGATCCCTTCCAGAAGCCGGTGCCACACATCATCCAATTCAGGAGGCACCACTGGGCATCCTTACAGTTGAGTTCTAGAACCTGGGAGGAGCAAGTTCCCCCTCCTCCCCCACCCCGGATAAGAGCGGCAGGCTGGGAATGTCACTTTATTTGGATCTGATTCATGGGGTGGGGCTCCCAGAACAAAGGAATGCCTCCCCTGGGCAGCCGCCAGCCAGCCAGGCTTCTGGCCCAGGGCCTGATTCTGGCCTTTGGTGTGCAGGGCCCGTCCTTCAAAGGGTGTCCATTTTCCCTCCTCCGGGAGTCCTGCATGTCACGTGAGCCGTGGGCAGGCCCCCCAGTCCAGAAAGTGGGAGGGTCCTGGTTCAGAGTAGCCCGAGCTACAGAGAGAGGCACAGCGAGGCCCTCGGAGTCACAACGGCTCCCCGGGACGGGGCTTCTGAGGCTGCCGGCTGGGTGGGGGCTGCACGCAGCCACTGACCATCCAGAGGTAGTCCGCGTGCACCTGGCCCTGCACAGCCTCGGTGACCATCAGCTCCCCGTCCACGGCAAACACACCCTTCCCATCCTTGGGCTCCAGGCGGAAGGCAACCACAGGCACGTACACCAAGTAGGGGCAGTCGCACTCCATGTGCTTGCCCTTCTCCATGGCCAGGAAGAGGCGCAGCAGCATGGCCCGAGACACGCCAGCCCGCACGTAGAACAGGTGCATGGTGCCCGCCGCACAGCGGCCCATGGGTGCCGCAAACATCTCACTGCCCAGGTGTGAGTGCAGCAACGCCAGCACCAGCACGAAGTCCTGTTCTGGCACCACCGTCCAGTGCGAAGGCACCGGCTCCCCCAGGGGCACGAGGTGGCCGTCCACAGGGCCCTGCTGGCCCTGCCTGCCCGGGGCGGCCGAGGTGGGCATCTTGGGGACCCCGCTTTCTGCCGAGAGGTAGGCCAGTCGGCCCTGGTAGATGCGCAGGGCGGCCAGGCGCAGGAAGGTGCCCAGAGTGAAGCGCATCTCCCCCAGGCGCCGGTACTTCTCGCTCTCCAGGTCCACGTCAGCAATGAAGCCCCACGCCAGGCTGAGCACGGAGAACAGACGCAGGCCCGAGGCCATCTGCAGGGACAGCAGGTCCACGGGCGCCAGCAGCCGGCGGCACAGCAGCAGCGTGCAGTTGGTCAGGAGGTCTTCGTTGGTCACCTGCTCGTTGCTGCAGGGAGAGATGAGATGGGAGTGGGCAGGCGCCCTCGCGTCCCCCCTGGAAGCTGCTGCAGGATCCGCAGGGCGCCTCAGGGAATCCAGGAAAATGACAGATGGAGGCAGCCAGCTGGAGCCCCAGGAGAGGACCCCGGAACAGAGGGTCAAGGCTCCAAAGAGGGAAGGGCAGTCGCCCCACTCACTATATGGGAGCCTGAAAAGGAAAAGCGGCAGCACTGAGGGGAAACTGAGGCCCACGCCGGCCCCGGGCTCTCACCCAGCATAGTGATTCAAAGAAGCTGCCAGCGCGTTGCCAGAGCCAGCGGGGAGGCTACACAGGGGCTTCTGGATGGCCAGCTGCCAGTCAGGCCGCTCCATGAGCCCATTCACCACCTGTGGAGCAGGCAGGGGTGGCTCAGCCTGGGCAGCACCAGGCCGGCCCCCCCAGCCCGGCGCGTGCAGGCCTCACCTCGTGCATCAGCCCGTCCCCGGACATGACCACCAGCGCGTCCCAGCGGCTCAGCTCCTCGCCGCGCACAAACTCCCTGGCGTGGTTCCTGCGCTCTAAGGGGGAGGCGGGTGGGTCTCCAGGCGGGGCTCCCCGCCGCGGCGCGCCCCGCCCCTCCAGGGGCACTCACCAGTGAGCACCAGCGAGAAGGAGACCTCGGCCTGGGCCAGCAGGGGCTGCACGTGGCTCCGGAAGAGCTGCAGGGCCTTGCCCTTGCCGCCGCGGGGGTTCAGCAGCACCAGCACGCGGCAGGGCCGGGGGAGCAGCCCCGGGGGGGCGGGGGCTGGACAAACAGGCACGGCAGGGCCGGTCCCCCAGCGGCCACTAGAGGGCCGAGGCGCCCCGCGGCCGCGCCGGTGGGAACCTGGGGCCCGACGAACCTGGGGCGCAGACCCGGGGAGCCCAGTCGAGAGGCAGAGGCCTCGGCCGGGGCGGGGGCGGGGCGGGGGGTTGGGGGCTCCGGGCGGGAGCGCAGCGCCCTCGACGCCCCCCTCGCTCGGGGCCCGCCGGGGCCCGGCCTCCCCCGAGTTTCTCCCTGGCGGCCCATCCCCTCGGGCGGCCAACTCCGGGCGTCCCTTGGCCGCCCCCAGGCCCCCACAAACCTGCATCCATCACGTCGACCCTCGGCGTCCGCGGCCGGGGACCCCCGCGCAGTCGTGGCGGCGCCCGCGGGGCTCCTGCGCTCGGCTCCTTATCTGCGCCGCGCAGGCGGGAGTCGGGGGCCGGCGGCGGGGCGCGCCCTCCCTGCGCGGGGCCGGCGCTGTGGGGGCGCGCGCCGCATTCCCCGCCGCCGCGGGCCTGGGGAGAGAGGGGGCGCTGGAGGGGTCCGGGCGAGCCCGCGCGGCCGGCGCTCCGGGTCCTGGGGCCGCGGGGCCGGGGTCGCGCTTTCGGGGGTCCCAGAGACCCGAGATCCGGGGCCGCCGAGGGCGCCCCCGCGCTGGGGCTGGGTCCGCTCCGCGGGAGCGCGGGGTCCCCTCCCGGGCCTCCCCTCCGGGCCGCGGGCTCCGGCCAGACGTTGGGTCGGAGCCTCGTGTTGCGCCCCTTCGGGCCAGCCCCGCCCGCCCGCCCGCCCCGGGGCCCGCCGGCGGGGGGGGCTCCGTTGCGCAAAATTCCCAGAACTTGACTGGACATCGCGGGGCCGGAAGTTTGGGGTGAGCGATCCTGGCCCCCGGCCAGCCCCCCGCGAGCTCCAGGGCGGCCGGGGGCGCGGCGCGCGCCCCCCCCCGGGCCCGACTCTGCCCCGCCGCCCGCAGCCGCCCGCCCGGCCCAGCGCGGAGGCCGCAGGCGCGCGGGCGCGGCCCTACCCAGGCGGCTCGGCGCTGGCTCGGCCCGCGGCTCGGGGACGCCGGCTCCGCCGCCCGCGCCCGCCGCTCTCAAACTTTCTCCGCGCAACTTCGTCGCGGGGGGCGGGGGGGAGGCGCCGAGCCGGGCGCCCCTGGCCCCGCCCCAAGCGCCGCGCGCCCGCGGGGTGGAACCGGCCGGGCCGCCCCGCCGCCCCGGGCTGCACGGCCCGGCCCCCCGCGCGGCCCGGAGCGCGGCGGCGCGGAGAAGGCGCGGGGGCGCGGGGGGCCGAGGCGGGGCCGGGCCACCAGCGGGGCGCGGGGCGCGCGAGGGCGGGCGCGGGGCGCGCGGCTCGGGGCTCCCAGCGCGCCCTCGGCCGCCGCCGCCCCCTGCGCGCCGCGCGCCCCGCCCCGCACCGGGGTCCAGGCCCGGCCGCCGGGGGCCCCCCGCGGCCCTCCCGCCGCCCCGTGTCTCCCGAGAGCTGGTCTTCGGCCCCCGGCTCCGGGGCGCCGCGGAGAGCCCCCCGGCGGGCGGAGGGGGCCAGGGCCAGAACTTCAGCGGCGGAGCCTCTTCCCGCGGACGTCGGGGGCGTTCGCGTGCGCCGGGGCACCGCCCCCGGGGCCCGCCAGGCCGACGCCCCAAACCCACCGAGAAGCTAAAGGCGGGGGCGCGGGGGGGGCTGGCGGGCCCGAGGGGGGGGCGTGGACGCCGCGGGGGGGGCTGGCCCGACGTGTCCGCGAGTTAAACGGGGGGCGGGGGTAGCTCGCCGAGGCGCAGCCCGACTTGGGGACCCGATCGGGGAGGCTCAAAGTTAACAAAAAAACCCGTAGGGGCCCGAGGGGGTGGGGGTCCAGGCTGCAGCAGCCCCGCGCCCCCCGCGCTCCCCACCCCCACCCACCCCTCCCCTCCCCCTCCCCACGGCCCGGCCGCGCCCCGCGCTCTCTTCTCTTCCCGGGACCCAGAACCGGGCCGGCTCGTCCAGCCCTCGGAGGGGCGGGGGGCGCGGGCGTCCCGGCCGGGGGACCCCCTCGGCGCGCGGCGGGGAGGCCCCCGCCCCCCGCAGCCCCGGCGGGCCCGGAGCGTTCCGGGAAGGTGACTCAGCGGCGCGCTCCCAGGCGGGGGCTCCGAGAAGCTGGGCGCGCGGAGAGGGAGGGGCCCCCGTGCGCCCCCACTCCCGGCGGCGCGGCGCGCGTCCTCCGAGGTCTCGTCTGGCGCCCCGCGCCCCGGGAGCGCTGGGGGTGGGGAGGCCGCGCCGCAGCCGCAGTGCCGCGGTCACGGGGCGCGGGGACGCGGGCGGCGGGGGGAGGGGGCGCCGGAGCTGGGGGCCAGACCCCGCCCCCCCACCCCCCTCCGCCGCGGGCCCCGGCGCCGGCACGACTCGCGCGGGGGGCCGGTGCCGCGGGGGTGGCCTCGCCCTGCTCCCCACGCCGGGTCTCCCCGTCAGCCGCGGACGCCCGCCTTTCTGCGCCCAGATTCTGGTGAGAAACTGAGGCACAGGGAAGGGAGGCCCGGCCGGGGGGCGCGGGGCCGGGGGGCGGGGCGGACCACAAACCGGCCGGCGCGCGAGGGCGCGGGGGCGGCCTGCTGGCTCGGCGCCCCTGGGGCGCCGGCTCCCCGCGGCCGGCCGGGAGGGAGGTGCAGGGCAAAGTCCTCGCCCGGGTTCCCGGCCGCACAATGGCGCCTCTGTCCTCCCTGATGCCCCCCAGCCCCGCACCTCCGGTTCCTCCTGCCCTGACCCCTCCTTCTTGCCTCTTGCCTCCCCCTGCCCTGGCGGCTCTCGAGCCCCCCCCCCCCCCCCCCGCGCACCCCGGCCTCTCGGAGGAACTTTTCCCTCACCCCTGGCACTCACCCATCAGCATCCCTCTTGACGGCTGGGGCCCGTCCTGGGAGGGCCACCCTGGCCCCAGCTTCCAAATAGCCCCCCACTGGGCGGTGAGCACGCCCCAGCCCTGGCCCAGCGGCCCCAGGCTCTGCTGATGTCTGAGCAGAGCCGGCCGGGGCGCCCCTGGAGAGAGGGCGAGCGAGCACGCTTCCCCGCGCCCCGAGGCTTGGGGTCCAGATGAGCAGACCCGCCAGGGGCCTGGCATCAGGCTTGATCCGATCCGATCGCCAGCCCAGAGCCCAGCTCGCGGGTAATACCTGCCTCGCAGGTGAAAGGGACTGTCTTGCCCCGTCTCCCGGCCTCCCCACCCCCTCGTGGACAGTGTCCACAGGGAGACACGCCTGAGGACCCTTCTCTCCCTCCGAGAAAGCAAGCAGGCGGGCCCCCGCGCGGAAAACTTGGAGCCACGGCCGCCAGATGGCAAATTACACGCTTTTATTAGGAGGCCTTCCTGCTTCGCTCCCCTCCCTGAAGCGACCTTCCCTGCGAGGCTTCGGCTCCCCGCGGAATTGCAGGGCCCCGAGGCCTTCCTGAAACACAAGTCCTTTCTCTGGGAGGCTGGAGGGCAGGGGAAGGGAGGTGGCCGCTCCTCCGCGTGGACTTAGCCGCGGCGGTGGCTTTCCATTCGGGAGCTCCCCGGAGCAGGTGCCCGGCAGGGTGGCGGGTGTGCCTCCCGCGCTCACGGAGGGCAGACTGGTCCCACGGGATTCTTACCTGCTTGCAAGGTGTGGTCAGGGCTCCCCCCGAGTTTCTGTTTCTGCAGAGGTTCAGCGGTTCGGTGGGTAAGTCCGGCTCTACCCCTCACGTGGCCTCCTGGCCTCGTGGGTGTGCCCTGGAGGCTGGAAATTCAGGTCTCCTGTAGGCCTCTGGGCCCCGCCTGCCCCACTTCTCCGCCCGCAACCTGCTGACACTGGCTACCCTTCAGGTCATTAGCTTCCAGAGCCTTCTCCGCATGGCAGCCCGAGGGCCCCGCCCACTGTGCTGTGTCTCATCTGCCCATTAGCTGGAGGCAGTTGCTGGCTTCTTGGCAGAGTAACGCCAACCAGGTGTCTTGAAGGAGCGGACACCTCCCAGTGCTGGTGGCCAGGGTCCAAGGTCACCTGCTGGCAGGGGGGCTCCCAGTGGGGCAAGAGGGAGAAATGCCTACGTCCTGCCCCTCCTTCTGGAGGTTTCCTTGACTTATGCGTGCGTCCCGCTCTCTCTGCCTTCACCTTCACTTCCCTTCGCCCCAGGGAGTAGGGGGTCGGGATTTGCTGTGTGGGATCTGCTCACGGCCTGTGGCCCCTTTCTTGTGGCCGACACTCGTCACTCTAGGGCTCCGGTGAGAATTCATGACTCGTGTTTTTAATTAAAAACAGGACAGTAGGGCCTCCCCGGTGGCGCAGCGGTTGAGCGCTGGGTTGCGAAGCTGCCCGCAGCCTCTGCAGCGCCGGTTCGATCCCCGGCCACCGGAGGAGGGTCCCACATGGCGCGCAGACCTCTCCTGCCGCCCGCTGCTCCCCTCAGCAGTGTGCTTCGGTCCTTCTGCCTGCTCTGCTCCCCGCTCTGGCTCTGGTGGATTCTCTCACCCTCCCGCGCTTCTGACTGTACCCAGTGCTTGTGTAAATAAATAAACAAATAAATAAATAAATCTTTAAAAAAAAACAACAATAGGACAGTACCAGATGCCTGGATGCAGGGAGCCCTGCGCGCTCATGTGGGTGTCGGAGGAGGGGGCTCGCAGCCAGTCCTGCCCACCTCTGGCGTTGTCGGGGTGCCATCTGTTTTGGGAGGGGTTGTTTGTGTCTCCCTGGCTGCCAGGCAGCCTTGCCCAGGCTTGTGCGGCTGGGCTCCCTCCACTGGGCCTTTTCCTCACGCCTGGGCTGATGGCACCTTGGCTTGCTGCGCGGTGGGTGTGCTGCCCAGCCAGAGGCCCAGCTGAGGTATGAGTTGATGCCTGGGGGCCCTGTCCTGGCGGATTTTTTAGCTTATGTTTCTGGAGGTCAGGAGTTCAGAGTGGACCTGTGGGCAGGGCAAGGCGCCGCTGCTGGCACCTGGGCCTCCTGCACACCGCACCTAGGCCCGGGCCTTCCTGCCAGGTGCAGCACGGCAGCTGCAACCTCTGGCTTTTGCTTGTTATCAGGCCCTCTCTGGCTTGGGCCTTGTCCCGCCCTCTCAGATACACCTCATGGGGTCATGGGCCCCTCCCCGTATAACCTCCCTATCTTGGGAGCCTTAACTTAGTCACATCTGCAGCGCACCTTTTGCCTTATAAGGAAGCAGATGCAGTTTCCGGGAACTATGAGGTGCACCTTCTTGGGGAGCTGTTATTTTGGCAACCGAAGATGGGTAGGGAAATCGCCTGGGAACCGAGCCCTCCTTGGCTCCAGAACCCCTTGCTAGCACTTCCGCCGTCCCGGCTCTGCCAAGTGGACACAGCAGGAACTTGCTTTCCCCCCAAAGGAGCGCCTGGCCGCGGTGGACGCCGCCTGGGCTGGGACTCACGCGAGGTTCTATAGACTCATGGTCTTTGGCTCGTCGGGCAGAGGCGCCTGCAAAGAAAACTAGTTTCCATTTTTAAAAACGACCCAGGAGGGAGAAACTGGCATCTCTGCTAAATACAGTAATTACAGGCTTGCGTTAGCCCGACTTTCCACCTGGACAGACCGCTGTCCATTTGCGGCTGGCAGAGCTCCCCGCTCCGCCAGGCAGGAAGGGCTCGCCACAGGCAGGGGCCCCCTGGGTACCAGGCGGAAGTGAGTGGCCCTCTCAGCGCCTGCCCTGTGAGCGCTGGGACAGGCTGGCCGCACCGAGGACCGTGACCAGTGGAAGAGTCACCAGAACGTTCCCCAGACTCCTGCTGACATAACTCCACTTTGGACTCAGCCAGCTGGGTCTCCAGTGCCCAAGCCCAGTGTGGGCAGAGACAGGGCCCCCCATGAGCCTGCCGCCCCCCCCCCACCCAACTGTGCTGGTCTATTCAGACGTG